CCCAATTATTGAAGGCTATCAATTATTAATTCTTTTTTTTTTTTCCGAAACGTAAAGTTCTTTATACCTCGTCGCCATTGTTTAAGCTTGAATAAGCATGGAATAATAATAATACAACACAAAATGTACGTAACAAAATGTATTGAAACAATGAAAAAAGGTACACAATATTTACAGGTAGTTTTGGTATATTCTTGGGAAGACTGTTCCTGCAGAATGGGTTGACTAAGTCGCAGTCGGGCAGAGTCTCTGGATTCGATCTCTTAATCTTCCGTCGTCTTCCGGTACCAACCCATATTTATATGGTCGGTACTCCACTTATGTAAATTAGGTGTATCATACACAACAATAATTAAATTTAAAAATGTTAGTTTCTGCTTTGAAACATGGTAATTCCTGTGTAGTGATGGAACCATATTTTTTAAAAAAATGCTATAAAGTGTAATAGATTCAGAAGCTATAAAGTAAAAAGTTTAATTTTCTATAAACACAGTTACAGTATACTTTTAATTAATGCAAATCTGTTTAAGAGTTTAAGCATATAGGCTTTACAAGAAATTTTCTTGTCACTGTACAAATCAAGAAAAACATTTACAGATTTATCAAATTAATCTAAATTATACTATAAGCCTTTTTTAAATAGTAATATTTTTTACCCAATGTAAGTGTATATATTTACTCAAACTATTAGAATACATGCAGTATTGCTTCATTGAATCCAAAAAGTTGCCTCAGCTAATATTAACAAAGCAAATTTTTAAAATGATCAGACTAAAAATTTTTTACATTCTTTCATTGAATTTTCAAGTACATAAAAAATTTATGTAATCTCACCCACTTTCAAAATTCATTGTTCACAGACTTCAATACTTTGACATAATATGGCTACTATTGTACAGAATTCATCTATTTTTTTTTCTTTTATGACTGCAGTCAGTTTTGGGCATTGAGTTGGGCTAGGGGATTTTACAACATATTTACCCTTGTTGGGTTATTTAATGTTGAAATATGTTGTTTTCTTTATACTTGTTTTTATAGGTAAATATGGTGGGAGTTTGTACTTAGGTCTGCAAGCATTGGAAAGTGACCCCTATATGGGAGAAGGGATTCTTACCCATCTTACTCTATTAAGATGTTTTTGTTCAGCTCAAACAAAGTCAAATATGATGGCAACAGATAGCAGTCACAATCTGAAATTAGTTCCAGTTTCTGATATCCATGTCAATAATCTATTTTTCACTCATCATAGAAGACAAATATTCCAGATAAGAGAAATAGGCCTAACCTTATATAAACAATTCAAGATAGAGTTCTACATTTAAAATTGCAAAGAGTCCTAAAAGGAAAGTTACAACTAAATGAAATAGGGTTATATTTTTTTTAATCATTTCACCTCAAGCAAGGCAACAAAGACACTAAGACACAGGAGTTTATTGAGTGTGAAAGAATATAAGAAAAAGAAAACATTATTAAGGAGCAAGAACAATAAAAGAACAGGAATTAAGAAAACAGAAGACAACAATTGACATTGCATTTAAATTTTTGAAGATTAAACTTGACTGGGAAACAAGAAGCTGGAAGAGAATTCCATAAGCAAGAAACATGAGAAAAGAAACTGTTAGCATAAAACTTATGGTTACATCTCACTATTTCAACTGTAAAATGATGGAATCTAGTAATTCATAAAGTCTAGGTGTTGATTTCGAACATAACTGGGAATAACAGTAAAACTCCCCCCCCCCGAAAAAAAGTCCATCATAACAATTACCATCAAATTATTTATCGAAAAAAACATATGGAAGCTACATTATAGCAGTGGGAATGTGATTGAAGCTTAAATGCCAGGTCAGAACCAATAACATTGCACATACTACTTTGGATTTTATCAAGAATCTCTAAATATATATTTGGAGCCCGAGACCATACATGGCAGCAATGTTCTAAACATGGATGAATGATAGACTTATGAATATCTAAAATAGATTTTAACGAGAAAAATTGTCAAGCTTAACAGTGAACCAACTTTTCCACTTCATGTCAGCAGAAAGAAAGTTGGCCAAGAAGGTGCGAGTCACTCTCCTGAAGGTTAGCATCAGCCATACTGATAAAAGGCAAAAAAAAAAAAAAAAAAAATAGAGGTCAATTTCATTCTGGAGGTGTTAAAATTAACAAGCCATTCCTTGTCCCAGTTAACAGAATGTAGGTAATTTTTTTAGATCAGCTGCTAATTTGACCTTATCAAACCAATCAGACTTACTACTAAAACAGGAGTAAATAGTTGTTACCAGAATAGATACCAGTTAAAAACTCTTGGAATAGCAATATTCAAATGTACAGAAAAAGTTTAATGAAAATGTGCCTAATATCTATGTTCTTATAATAGTAATACACAATTTCTTGTATTTCTTCAATTTGGAAATTTAAATGAAAAAAATGTTATGACTACAAAAAGAGAAAAGACAAATTATGTTTGGACAATTTTAAAGTTTGCTTTTATTAATTTTTTTTTTTTTACTAAGGTGTTTTTATAATGGGAGAGAATTTTTAGCACATTAGTAATATATCAGCTTATCATTTAACTGGTCTGTTAGTATATAACAATATTACAATGTTAGGAAGATTTTCACATAAAGTTAAATATTTTAAGTATCATTGAGAATCTGTAGACTAAATATTTGCTAAGTTTAAACTTATACAAAGTGATCAAGAGAAATAGTTTTTCAAAAATTATGTTAACTTTTGCCTTCTTTATGAAAAAACACTAAAACAGTATTCAAAATTATGGCTTCTAGCTGGGCATGAACACCAACCACTGTTAAGTAATCATAACAATATCAGCCACAAAACAAGTTAAACATACAGAATAACAAATAAAATTTCAAGATTAATATTGAGGTTATAATAATTTATTAATAAATTTCAAAATAGCATAACATGAAATCCTTAAGAGTACAAACCAATATATCAACTTTGGAAAAACCACAAAGTGTACAAACATTAGCTTTATGAAATACAGTCCAAACTATCTTTTATATAGGTTATTTAGTTTAGTACTACTACTAGAGAACATTTCAAGTAATTAAGAAGAAAAGGAAATGCTAAATTATGCTTAGATACTGAGTATTGATTGGAATAATTTAGCATAATTTACTCTGTCATTCTTAAAATGTGTCATTTACATCCAACTTTAAGTGGACAAGTTTCTTTTGTAAGATTTGATGTCAAACTAGCCTATATCTAGGCACAAATAAATTTAAAGTTTAGACTTAAATGGACATGAGAACAAAATTTCAAGTTTCAGTTCAAAAGACCTTAGCGAGTTAGATTTGTTATCAAATTTGGAAGGAAAATAGAACTTAAGTCAACTCAAGACGGATTTTCACCAAAGAATGTAGTATTTGTAAAATCCATTACCAAAACAATTAGGCATATCAAAACAGAAGAGTGACCTATGTAATTGTACTTGTTCAGCTGATAATTTCAATTCAATTACACTTTGTTCTCCTTACAATTAACTGAAGATGATATAGATATTTATTTACTTATCCTCACACAAGACTTTTTTTTTAAAGGGGAAACACCACGTGTATATAGTGTAGAGGGGGGGAAATTGATTGGTCGTACCCCTTTTGTTTTGAGGTACTGTCTGAAGAACCAGTTCATTTAGAAGTGACCTTTCTCCCTTAATTCTGGCACAAGGCCATGTGCAAACAAACTTATATTGTCTTATGATTTTTCTGATTTATATAAAAAATATTGAAACTGCACATTTAAGGTTCATTTGTTTTGCTTTTTGTTTTATTTTTTTCAAGTAATAAGCCAATATGATCAGCTTCAATTTTAGAATTTAAAATCTTTGTACATTCAATAAAAATAACTAAATCGATTATTTTTTATAGATGCAGGAGTATGCGTAAGAATTAATTGTGCGATTTAAAAATCAAAATTTTGCTGTTTCAGTTGGTCTCTACACTAGAAGAGACTGACAAATTAATTAAAAAAAAAAACCCCAAAAAACAGCATAATAAATTAGATTGCTTTGCTTTATATTACACCACAGTGTGGGACAAAAATTTATTAACTTTAAGAACAATTTTAGAATAACAGACTTAAACACGTGTAAAGTTGGGTTATGAAAAAAAAAACCTTTTAAAGAAAATCTTTCAATCTTTTTCTTTTAAAGAATTTTGTTTTTTTTAATACATGAAAATTTTTAATAATTACATCTATTTTGTGTTAGTTAACAACAATAATAATAAAAAAAAATCAAGTTATTTAATCTGAAAGCATTTTTATAAATTAAATATAACAATAAAGATTTTTTTTTTTCAAGTAAGTTTTTTTTCGTTTTTTAGTAGAGAAACTAAAAAGAAAAAAAAAGGAATTTTTAGTAAATATTCATTTTTAAACAAATGAATTATGTCTCATGTAATATTAAGTGAAAATAAGTTAGGAAATGCTAAAAACTAAAAACATGTTTAGGCGATTCATTAACGTTTTTCCTTTAATGGATTTTTTAATCAACTTGAAAACCATAATGAAAGAGTGAAAAATAATAATTAAATGAATAACAAGAAAGCTACAAACTGTTATTCCATTTTAATTGTGGTAGGTGTTTATAAAAATGACAGTTATTTTTTTTTAATATAAATTTTATATTTAAAAGGAATTATTCTGGATTTTGTTCCGTGATATCAGTAACAATTAACATCACAACCATTGCTTTGCTTATTTTATTTTTAAAATTTAAATGTACATCACGTTTGCGCCTCCGATAATCTATTTAGATTATATTTTACTTAATATTTAAGTAACTTTAATGATAATGTATAAAACGGGAACATTCTTAACAATTTAGGCACGTGCAAAAAAAAAAAAGTGTCATTCAAAGTGTCAACAAAAATGACTGCTCAGTGCTTTACTGTGTAGTAGTGTGATGTTTCATAACAATAACAAACATGACAACAAAGACTAAACATTAGTCCGAGAAATTTATTTACCCCGGTTTATTTCTTGAAGTGATTCGAGCAGTCGAGAACAGTCAAGTGCCAAGGCCTGAACAGCTGCGACAACCACCGCGGGATCCCTCTTAACATCCATCGTGGTGAGATTGGCAGCCATTTTGTTAGTAGTCGAAACTATAGTCACGTGATTATCTGTAATGCAATTGAATAGAAAACTTTACTTAACTCAGTGCTGAGTTTTATCCCAATTTATAGCAATAATTTTCTCTTTTAATTAACAATAAAAAGAATATATTGTTAAAATTAAGGTTGATTGCACTCAACTGCGTGTACTTTTTATCGAAACAACTTTTAGTTTTAAAATAAGTGATGTCAGAAGATAATGACTGACTACTAATTAAGCAAAAATGAATTGTCCAAAAATGAGAAAACAATAGAACTAAAAAAATATTTTTTTCTCATTCACGCCAAATTTGATTTGATTTGTTCATAATGATTTATTAATAAATCAAGTTATTTCCAAATAAAAAAAAATCTGTCCTGATTTACTTGAAAAACATTGCATTTTAAATTTTATAAACTATTGAAACTAATAGATCTCAAAATATTTGCCTAGAGAGATCAAACTTGATAAAATTAAAAGCTTCAATAATCAAAACAATTTGCTTTTTTCTGGATTTACCTACTTTTGTAACTATCAGATAACCACAAATCAAAAAACAATACCACCTTTGGCTTCTAGAGAGGACCATGGTTACTTTGCACAAAAAAATGAATACATTTTTGTTCCAACACATACATATCAATCAAAGCCAATCTCTAACAAAATTAAAACTGTTCTTTTATTTTTTCATTTATGAATTATGCAATATCCAAAAAAATTAGACATACAATTTTTTATTGACTCATTTGGGCAAACAAAAATACTTACATTTTTTTTAAATTTTCCTAAAATCACAAAGATATAATTTATCCATTATAAAATTGGTAACAGAAAATGAGAAACAATGAATAAAAAACAGATTTTTAAAATATAAATGAAAAATATCAAGTACTGTATAACTAATATAGTTAAAAAAATCAGATTGATATTTATATCAGCTTTTTATCTTTTACAGTTATGGCATCTTTTTTTAATTGTCTTTTTAAAATGATGGTAACAGGTAAGCAAAATTTGTTCTCAGAAATGTGATTATTTACAACTAGCAAGTGAAGTCATCACAAAAGCATATAGTGGAGGCAAAAATAACAAGGAGATCCAAGTAATTTTTGCTATCTCCAGAAACAGATAAAAATTTGGAATTTCTAGGCCTTGAAGTCATACTTCTACAAACCAATCAGAAACATTTCCAACAAGGAAATGTCATGTCCTTATCTAGCAAACTAATCAGAAATGGTCTCAACAAGATTACATCATAATTTACACTATTTACATGCAGAGTATTGTTCTCATCGTTGTTGTTATTATCACTACATTTCAGCCATTGTGTCTTCTGGCCTTCATCAGGTATGTATTGATCCAGGTAACTTACAAGAAATTCCAAACTGAACTCTTTATTTAATCTATAGGGGTAGATTGTTCTCATTCTATTGCCTACGTGCAGTTCTTATTTTTAGTAGTGCTCAGTTATTGCTTGCCCTGTTTCCACTGAGTCCAAGTACACACTGCCCAGCACAGGAATTGAACTCTCAATTACTACGTCACTAAATTTACAAACCAATACTGTAATCCATCAGGCTATTGTCCCATAGGATTGCATAATAGTTTGGTAAGCTATTCAGAAAATGTTCCAATAAGGATATTGTCAGGTTACCTCCTCTTAATTTTCAAAACCACTACTAGAGGATGCTCTCTGGACTATAAATACTCTCTAAAATCATATACAAGGTGCGATGGCTAAATTGTTGCCATTTTATATTTTTAATTTTACGCATGTGTGTAGTTTGTTTTTGATTTTGTCAACTGCACCATTGCACATTGTCTGTGGGTAAAAGAGCACCATGATGCAAGTCACTCTTCCAGAAATTTTGAAAAAACATGCTGTACTGTTTGGTCTTCGCACTGGAAACTCCAATACAAACATTTGAGAGTGTTTGGGTGTCAATCTGAGGACAGTAAAGTGGATAAAGAAAGAGTTGGATGAGTCTAATGTTGGTTACAAAGGTACAGTAGCTCAGAAATATCACTCTGATCATTCTGATAAGAAAAGAACTTCTGAATTTGTTGGTGAGGGCCTCAAAATCAACAAAGAGGCCTACATCAAATGCCTTGAGGAGGTGGTGCTGCCTTGGATTAAGAGGGTAGTTGCTGGAAGACCCTATGTCTGGCAACAGGACTCTGCACCATGCCACACATTGTAACACCAAAGATGAACTGAGGGCAAGGATTCACCAACAAACAAGGAAACTGTCCAGAAGAGTTGCAGGAGATTCTGAAGTTGTTTGGAGGCTGTGGTTGCAGCCAATTGCAGTTTTATTGAATAAATTTACTCTTTAGTATTTCGAGATATTTTTGTGCAATTTTCCTAAATATATCTGTTAAAATGAGATGTCCGTATTATTTTCATTTTTTTTTTTTTTTTACATTATTTAGACGACAATTTATCCATCGCACCTTGTATATGGAAGTATTTACATATTGCTTAAATATATAATAGTGTTTTTAGTCAGCAATTGTTTTTTTTTCTTGATTTATTGATTGATTCATTTTCAATGGCTTATCAACCATTTGCAGGTTATTTAAAAGCAGAAAATATTTTTAGATTGTAAGAATTTTTTTGGAGATAATAATGGTTTAGTGAGATACAAGTCTTACTAATTAACCTATAAGCTGGGTGGAGAAGAGGGGGATTCATACGTTTCCTGAGGGTATTTGCACATGTGAATATAAGGAACACAATGTAACTGGAAATCAGCTCTACAATTAAAAATTCTGAGCCATTATCCATTTCACCACCCGCACATCCAAGCTTACAGCACCTGGTATTCCCTAGCAGTCACCCATCTAGGTACTGAGCAAGCTCAACATTGCTTAACTTTGGTGATTGTATAAGAACCTGTGTTTCAACATGACGTGGCCATAAGCCTTTCTTTTTCAAGCATACAATATACAAATAGAGTCTTAAAAATTGTTAAAACAAGTTTTAGATATTAAAAATATTTAATTTAAACAAATTAATTTTCAATTTTTTTCCCTATTGTGAAATATATCTAATTTGTTAATGAGGAAAATTAATTAAACCCATAGCAACAGAGATTAGAGGAATATTGGTAAAAACAATAAGCAAAAATAAGAAAAGTTGAAATGAGACATAGATCAAGTTGATTCAAATCATTATAGTGAATGAAAGTTTTGATATAGTTATTTACTAAACCATGCTCATGATTCCATAGTCACATAAACACTTACATAAATTTTTATGCTGAAATAACTCTATTATTATTGGTAATAGAGTAATTAAAATTTTGATTGAAATAAATAAATAAATAGGAAATAATAAAATTTTGATTAAAATTCTGATTGAAAGCAGCCTACTGGTGCTAGTCTAATAAAATAAGAAAACTGATTTTATTTTTATCTTTTTTTTTTTTTTATAAAAATCAGATTGATGTTAGGAAATAAAAAAAAAAGAAATTTAAAAAGAAAATCAAACTAGCAATATCTATACTTTTATTCTGCTTGTTTTACTATTTCACTTTTATATCTAGGATTTGAGTGTAGTGTCTGATCATCAGCCCTTCTGAGTTGGAAGCAGTTACACTTTCCAACCAACAAGCCTACATAATAACATAAAGTGCAAAGGAATTGAGCAAAGTAAGCAACAGGAGTGTAGTGCTTGTGAAGAAAAATATTAAAAATCATATATAAATTAAAATTTGATAAAATGGAGAAATTAGAAAGATTCAAATTACAGTGGACACATTACTAGAAGATATTCTATTAATTAATCAGTTTCAAAATTCTTTTTCTTGAAAATTATTAATAAGATGCAGTATCCTGACTGAGTACCAATTTAAAATAAAATTTAGTCAACTTATAATTTATAGAGAAAGATAAAATTTACACATTTAAAACATATATCAAAATATTAATCTGCAAAGTTTCAGTTTTTAAACATGTATATTTATTAGAAATCTTATACTCTTCAGGTAACACACTTTAGAATGAAGGCAAAACTTTTACTGCTAAATATTCATATGTATTCTTGTGTCCACTACTACATCCACATGCCAGGTATAAATAAAAGGACAATTGTATCAAGTAGTTAGTCCATTTAACAGTCAGAGTAACAGTGAGTTATCAGGTTACCTCCTCCTAACAGTTTGAAACCGTTCATAGGGGATGCTCTCCAGACTATGAATACTCTGTGATATTTTTTCTTACTCTCTTCTTATTTTTTCCACTTACACATCAGCATGTAAATCTCTTGCAGAGAATGCATTCCTTTTGGGAAATGCATGAACAAACCATACTTACAAAATACACATACGTACACACATTCGCCCACTTCACATACTTTGAACCCAAAAAGGTTTTCACATTCTTTTGTTACACACATCTTTGTCTTTGTCAGTTGTATACCTTTCTTGTTAATATATTATCATTTGTTTGTACATATATATTGGTTCTTGTTGTTTGTTTACATTTCTTTATGTGGACTCACATACCAAGTCCGTTATCTTTGTTTTCAGGTTTTCAGGAGACAGTTTGTTATTCCCAATTTCAAATACCGACATTACTAACGCCCAAAACAAGTTGGGAAATGCGTAATTGGCCCATATCAAGTTTGGTGACATCCTACGTGATCATTATTTTTCTCCTGATAACAAGAAACACACAAGGCTATATATGTGTAGACTCAAATATATATTTACTCACCTTTTTCAAACTGAGAACAAGTGAAGGGAAACATCGACAAGCTTCTCTTCCTACCTTACCAAGCATGGAAGACACAACTTATATCAAAAACAATTTACACAGCTGCAAAACTTGTGATTATGAAAGAAAGAAAATGAAAATTTCAATCACTACAACATATCCACACAACACATGATGCTCACTGACTTGGCAAATAAATTTTTTTGTAACATGTGGGACCAAAATAAATCGCTAATCACCTTTAAATTACTGCTACACTGGTCCATCAGTAGGCAAATAACATGCTCCTCCATCCCTATTATCTTTTTGTTTGACCCTGCAGTATGTGTCGACATCTTGAGTCAATATGCAGACTTCTCAGTCATTTGAAAATATCGACACTAGCAAACAACAAACACAGCAACATTATGCTTGATTTCATCTCAACTACTAGACATCTTTGGAATTTTTTTCAACAAAACAAAAATACAACTCCATTTCAACTTTAATCAACACTATTTCTTCTAGGCTCATCAGATAAAGTGTGACATATCTCAAAAGGGCGACTCACTGTGTTTTTTTTTTCACTCTGAGATGATTTCATTCAAACAACACTAAGAATTTGCATGTACAATATAGAAATCAACAATAATAGTAAATTTCTTAAAGTTCTCAAACATGCATTTGACACTTGGTAGAAATTCTACATCAGCTCACCTTTGTCACAATGCTACTTCTGTTAAATTTTACAAACAAGGTTTTCCTCAAACAAAACACTTCCAATGACCAGGAACCAGTACAATAGGACAACAAAACCAATTCAACATGGAGTATTGGAAAAAGACAAATTTTAATAGTAAATGCTGAACAATTTACACTACCAACGCATCTTCCAGGATATGCTGCTATGACTCTGACCCACTAGAGAAAATAATACAGCACCCTGATGACAGCTCAACTGCACATCCGACACCTTTTCTTTTCAGTTCGTGAGGACAGAAACACAACTACACAAACTTCACATATGGGCAGAAAAAATCTACCTATCTAGAGAGGAGTATTGCCAGGTTATGTCCTTCTAACAGTTTGAAACCGATCCTAGGGAACGCTCCTAGGGGACGCTCTCCAGATTATAAATACTCAGTGATATTTTTTATTACTCCCTTCTTACTTTTTTCACTTATACATCAACATGTACATCTATTGCAGAGAATGTGTTCCCTTTGGGAAATGCATGAACAAACCACACAGACACAAAACACATACGTACACACATTCGCCCACTTCACGTACTTTGAACCCAAAAAGATTTTCACATTCTTTTGTTACACACATCTTTGTCTTTGTTAGTTGTATATCTTTCTTGTTAATATATTATCATTTGTTTGTTCATATATATTGGTTCTTGTTGTTTCTTTGTATTTCTTTATGTGGACTCACATACCAAGTCTGCCATCTTTGTTGAAATTTCTAGAATATAAAAATTTGTCTTTTTCTGATATCTTCTTTTCCTTTCCTTTTTCTTTGTGAATGAATTGAATATTTTTACAAGGCCAAATTTCCACCTGTTCAACCTTCTGCAAGAGAAACTGGAAAAAAAGAGTGTAAAGAAATGATGTAGGTGAGATGATAAAGAAAACCATGTGAAAGGAAAAAATAAACAAATATATATGTGTGTATATATATATATATATATATATATATATATATATATATAGAAAGAAGGAAAAGGAATGAAGATTAACAAAAATATAGAGTGAAAGGCTTACTGGTTGAATATCATGAAACAATGAGTGAAAAATTTAAAAGAAGTTAGATATGCAAAGACTTGATAATTTCAATACATTAAAATTCTTGATGAAGATATAGAGCAAAAGAACGATAAAATAAGGATGCAGTGGAAAATATCAGCACATTATTACTTTTTTTTGCATATGAAAATAATCCATATTTAAATGAAAACATGGACACACAACATAGATTAGAAGGGATAAGTGAGAGAATGAGAATATACAAGCAAAGGATGAGATAATCTTACTTGTCAACACCTGTGAAATTTTCATAGGTTGAACTTATATGTTACGTTTGATAAATACAAAATTTATGAAATTTTAACAATATTAGTAGAATGTAAACAATAAAAAATTAAAATTAAAAGTTCATAACACTTACAGTCACTCAGTTCTAGCCCCTGTTGATTTTAGATAGACTATTACTACCTGAAAGCTTTGAATGGTCTCAAATCTAATTATTTAGATAGATTGTTGAGCCCCATATTGGCTCCTTCATGAAATTTATCAGGGAAATTAGATAAAATGTCAACTCTTATCTCTTCTCCAAATAACTTTTTTTTTTAAAATCATTTCACCCCAAGCAATAAAGCCATGATGCAATGGGATTACTGAGTGTTAGAGAATATGAGAAAAACACTATTAAGGAGAGAGAGAACAATGAAAGAACAAAAACTAAGAAGACAATATAATGATTAACATTGCATACGATACAATAAAGTTATAGGGTACAAGTAACGGAATCATTTCTGACTTTATATATTTTGCATTGTTTCACAATAAAATATCTTTCTATGATAATATTTTTATAATAATTTAATAAGTTATTTTCTTCATTTTTTGTAAAGTTAACAAAACAGAGAAAATATTTTAACAGAATCAACCAAAAGGAAGGTTATGCAAATGAGTGAAAAAAAGGCATGACATTAATTTAAAGATAGAAATTCCTGATATCCCCCAAAATTATGATCTGATATATAAAAGCTAAATATGAACACCCTGGTTGGTCCATTTAACATTGTGCCATATTTATTCTGGGAAAAATGTAATCTATTATCCTAATATCATATTACTCATCTTTATTTACAGCATAAAAATGTTTTTCTGGATATTAAACTAAACCTCTCTATAGTTTTCTTGGTCTCTCCTCAAATTGTGTTCTAATCAGCTATTGCTAAGTGATGAATTCAGGTGATGTGTATTCAACAAGAGTTAACACTTATGGAAGAAATATGCAATAAAGATTCCATTTCCCACCTGCACAAAATGTTGATTGGAGATTGTCTTATGTTATTTGTTTTGCCCAGCTCAAGGTCATTGTAGTGACACACAGAATGAAAATCAAACTCACAATACTAACAAATTGACTTCTGAAATAAGCTTGCTAACCATTGTGATATGGTAGATACTCCAGGTTGTTATTTAACATAAAT